GGGGGGGGGGGGGGGGGGGGGGGGGGGGGCCGCCCCCCCCCCCCCCCCAAAAGATTACAAAGTCGAAAAGTCGGGCAAATGTTCAACATAAGTCGGGCGAAGAGTGGGAAATTAAAAAGCCAAGAAAGTAGTCAAAGTAATAAAATCTCTCTTAATAATAACACCAGTTTGTTGGGCAAACAAAGCCAGTTGGGCAATATTCGCTTAACAGTCGGGCAATATTGGGTTATTATAAAAATAAATGGGACAAATATATTCTGTCAATTTTGGTGGAAATTTTTGGTATGTCCGAAAAAAAAATTTTGGTATGTCCGAAAAATTTTTGGACCCCTAAAATGGTACACTGACCGAAATTTTTTGGCGACGGGGGGGGGGTGGAGGTCGCCAAAATTAATTGTTCCGGAAAAAAAATTTTCGGCACTGGTCGGGTACAATCCGAAAAAGTCGGGCAAATTTCTTGCCGCCCCCCTTAATTTTTTCCTTCCGGTACGCCCATGATGATCTGTAAGATATTATGCAATGTGACATATCCATGCAGTGATGGTTGACGGTTTACATTGGGACATATTAGCATACACACAACTTGCAATGACATTAAGCAAGATTTCTATCAAAAGTAGTTTAATTAGAAAATCTGATATCTAGTGTTCAATATACAGTATAAGGTCATTGCCAACTTTTCGAGCAAAACGACGCCAGTGTGGTCGGCGTCAAGTGATTTCTATGCACGGCGGGCATTATTGCAGATCATTAATATTGCCACATAAATTTGAAGACTCTTTCTCGTTCTTGCAAAACCAAAACGCAATATCTTACTAATCTAATCTTGATTATTTAGCCCTACATTCAGTATGAATAATTATAGTAATCGATCATGTTCAACCAAACATGGGTGGGTCACTATGCATGTAGCTAGATTATGGTAAAAACCGCGGCTTGCAACGAAGTTTAGTACTTATTGTCAGCTACATATAGAAAAGTATAACAAAGTATATTATTATTCTTTAAAACTATGTTTTACTTGAATTTTTGCAGAAAACAAAAAACATGAATACCTTATTGTTTCTTGCAATTTTTGCTTGCTTTGGTTATCAAGCACAAGGTAAAGGATACAGGATATCATTATTTTTTTAATGTTCTGGCTTGACATGGAGCCTCGTCCAATTAGGCAATATTCAAATGTCCATCTCATATCTTGCACTTATGGCTAAAAATCCAATATTGTTTAAGTACATCAAGCAATTAAACAATTATGAAGTAAATACTAATTAAGAATCTACAACAAAACAAGAAATATTAATATAACTATATACCGGGAGGTAGGTAATCTTCGAGTTAAGCCTTTTTCGAGTTAAGCCCCGACCACGCCCAAACCGCACCCATTTTTGTCAAGGGCTTAACTCGTAGAAAAAAACACAACTTGGTATGTTCGAGTCAAGCCCCGTGAAAAAAGAGGGGCTTAACTCGAAGTCATTGAAAATATTCGACGCTAGATTTAAGCCCTGGCATTTGAGGCATGTAAAAGAGAAATGATTTTAGTCGTAATAAGCTCAGAGGTATAAAAGCTATTCCAAAATAAATAATCTGTTACTTTAATGAAAATTGACTGTTTATACGAGTTTTTCGTGACTCATTTAGGCTGCAGCTTATTTAATCCGAGACGTATGATAACTATTTCCAGCTAGATTGTTGACGACTCAAATCATTTCTCTTTTACAATCCTCAAATGTCGGGGCTTAACTCGACTTCGAATTAAGCCCCTCTTTTTTCACGGGGCTTAACTCGAACTTGTCAATTTGTGCTTCTTTCTTCGAGTTAAGCCCTTGACAAAAATGGGTGTGGTTTGGGCGTGGCTGGGGCTTAGCTCGAAAAGGGCTGGACTCGAAGGGCTTAACTGGAAGTTTACCTAACGACAAATGTATGACACCCGTCATGAACACGATTATTTTTGTAACTTTTAAAAAGTTAAAAAGTCTGCCTCAATAAAGTTAATTTTCCTTCGTCCTGCTTAATTTCACACGAGCCACTTAATTTCAACGTGAAAGAAATAATAAACGTACCTTATTTGACCTGTTGTTTCTAAACGAATTTTGAAGAAAAATAGAATAAACGATTTTAATATTCCACGTGGTTTTTCGTATTACCGCTTTTTCTAGTTACCACTTCATGTGTTCTTTTATTCTGTGCAAATGACAGAAAATATAATACCTACTTTGCAGCCAAATTAATTTAATGCTATGAAATCATATTTTCTCTTTAGCCTACATTTGTCCATGCAATTGGAACTATTTCGATGGTCGTTGTTATTATATTAGTCGGGGAAGTGCCAATAATTGGCTTGCTGCACGAGCTGATTGTCGCGCACGTGGTGGAGACTTAGCCGTGCCAACAAGTAAGATAAATAATCAGCACATTTATCAGGCTATGAAATCGAGCAACGTCGGCACAGTATATATTGGTTTCTATAGGGTGGCCGAAGGTCTAGGAACTAAGAAGTTTTACACCGTACGTGGCGTCGAGGCATCCTATACAAATTGGTTGGCAGGGGAGCCAAATAATTCTGGAGGAGTGGAAGATTGCGTCGAGCTGGTGTACAAATCACCTTTTTTGAAAAATGGCGGTGATGTTGGTGGACGATGGAATGATCTGCCATGTAACGGCTACCCTCGTCATTACGTCTGTCAAACGAGCTTCCAAAGATACGAGAACTAGTTATACGCCATTTCAAACTTTTTCATGGAACTAGAACTAAATGTATTCTGACGGTACTATGTATGCACTGAACTCTATAATTATGTTAACCTATCTGATTTATAGTATACATGTATTAGCAGCAAATCAACTTGTAGGCAATAGTACCAAGTAATCCATTGCATGTAATGCTTTTAATAATAATAATAATAATAATAATATACATAGAAATATTACTCGATTGTGATTGGTTGGTTTCAGTGCATTTAATCCCAAACAGCAGTGCAAAAATCTGTAACAACAGTGCAAAAATCTGTAACAACAGTGCAAACATCTGTAACAACAGTGCAAAAATCTGTAACAAACTCATCTGATTGGTGGGAAAACATTGTGATGATAAAGTCAACCAATCTGCAGTTTAAAGCAGTTTAGTTTAAAGAAGTAAACGGTCACAGATTGAAACAAAACAAACATGGCGCCGCGCTACATAAAGTAAAAGTTGCCTTCGCGTGGAAAATTTGGCTTTCATCTTTATTTTTAAACGGAAAAGCATTTACCTTAAACAAGACTAACAAAAATTACATATATAGTTGAGTGGAATTTTCAAGCTGTTAGCGTTGTATAATGTGATATAACAAAATCAGGAAAGCTTTGCCAGTGGAATGTTCGCTATAAACGCGTAAGTTAATAAAACTACAATTGTCTCGAACATTTTTATGTAAATTATTAATAAGTAATCGCATGGTTTCTCGTGAAATTTGGATAAACAAGCACTCATGAGTTTTTCAAAGACCTCAAATAGCACTCGTCCTTCGGACTCGTGCTATTTTCAGATCTTTGAAAAACTCACTCGTGCATGTTATATCCAAACTGCACTCGAAACAATCTATTACCTATACTAATAATAATAATACTAATAATAATACTAATAATACTAATAATACTAATAATACTAACAATACTAATAATACTAATAATACTAATAATACTAATAATACTAATAATACTAATAATACTAATAATACTAATAATAATAATAATGGAAACTTTATTGAAATTATATACGTATATATACAATTATAAATCTCACTAATTTAGGTAATTTATAATTGGCTACTTGAACCTACTTAAGAGGCTGTCTCCGTAAAAACCTCCAGGTCAATATGGAGCTCAAAAATAGATTTCTCTCATACTCTAGTATTTTGAAGATCTATCCTTGGGAACAACTAAAATCGATGCCATTTTACTCAAATTTCCTTTAAATTATTTTTGGGGGCGATTGATGTTCGATCGACTGGTAACCAACTTGATACTCCGAATGAAGGCCAAATATCGACATATTTTCAGCGCTATTTTTCAAATCAAATTCATACCTAAATTTCAAAATTTTTGCTCAGAAATATAGACTTATCCTTCTATTTTCGTCGGTGATACAACTTACATCATTATTCTTTGGTATAAAATAGAAAACAGCGCAGTTATTGACCCTCCCGAACGGATAAAGGATATCGTCTCAAAATATGTCAACTTCGAAAGCTTATTTCAAAATCGTGGCACTTGATTGGCACATGACTTTAACTTTTCTATAAACTACTAACATTAGTCAACACAAATCGCCAGTAATATCTTTCTGCTGTACCATTTGACAAAAATGACAAGCGCGCAAACTTTGTAAAATTTGAAAATGTGTCGAATCGAGCATACTTTATTGGTAAACATAATTATTGATATAAACAGATAAAATCACCTTACACTACACTGAATGAATCTTCATTATGTAAATACATGTCTTTCATCATTATTCTTTGGTTTGGCGCTTGTATCAAATTGTTTGAGTACAGTTTGGCTTGATGGATAGAGTCATTCAATGCCAGTGTGTCCAGTGTCTTCTGCGCGCCTCAATACCACGAGTCCTGATTGTGACATACTATACAATCTTCGCCCTATTCGCTTTGTTTACCTCTTTAACAAATACATGTTTAACAAATAACAATATTCAATGAAATTGGAAAACTCAGAATTAGTCATACTACAGACAGAATTTTCATCGTTTTTAAACTGTTTTATAAAAGTTTCGTTAGCCGTATGAATTAAATCTCGGGGAAAACCCCGGGCAATGATGTCAAATGTCAATATTTCGTTAGTTTCGCTCAGTATAGTTTTCTAGCAACTGAATTGTCTCTAGGTTTAGAAACAATTATCAATGAAACTAGAATTCAAGTAAGTCACGGTTCTGTATAAAAAAATCAACTTTTTCAGGCCGACCCTGGGTCACTTTGCTCAAGGCTATGCTTCAAGAATTTACATTATTTCTTATTGTATAAAAATATGCGAATATTTTGATATAATACAAAACAATTCAGCGCAAACAGCTGTAACCCATTTGAACGTCTCAGTTATTTAATCAATGTTATTCCTTTTTTCAGTAACAATTAGAAAGGTTCTGAAAATTAGAATTAATTTATATTCTTCTTTCCGACAAGCTTTAAAGGGTGACAAATTTGCAAGTGATAACTAATGTCATTCTTACACGCCAGCAACTTCGAAGAACAGTCTACTGTGTCTCGGAATTTTCCACACTCAGAAGTAGAAAAGGAACATTTCTACATTATTGTTTACCGTCATTCTCATCTGTCAACATAAAATCTACTGTCTGTCGAAATCGTTTAAGGCCCTGTCACACTATTGCGTATCGTACTAGCGTATGCCAGCGTATGAAAAATATCACTCATACGCCGGTATACGCTGACATATACGCTAGGGGTACGCTAGGCATAGGTTGTATACGTTTCAAGCACGATCGCATACGGTGGCATAGGCGAGGCAGAAAATTTTTTTAAGCATGTTCAAAAATTTTGTGCGTATCGGACGTATGCTTTATACGATAAGCATACTCTAGGCACACGCTCAATACGCTAGAGGTACGCCAGATGTACGGTACTCATACGCTGGCATTGCAAAGGATTTTTGTGCGTATGAAAATTATTTCATTGATTTTCATACGCTTCTCATACGTTTCTCTCATACGCATTAGTGTGACAGGGGCCTTTAGGTTTAGCCCTGTCACACTATTGCGTATCGTACTAGCGTATGCCAGCGTATGAAAAATATCACTCATACGCCGGTATACGCTGACATACGCTAGGGGTACGCTAGGCATAGGTTATATACGTTTCAAGCACGGTCGCATACGGTTGCATACGCTGGCATACGCAGAGGCAGAAATTTTTTTAAGCATGTTCATGGGCGTACCGGAAGGAAAAAATTAGGGGGGCGGAAAGAAAATTGCCCGACTTTTCGTAAAATTGCCCGACTTTTCGTGATTTTGCCCGACTAGTACCAAAAAATTTTTCCCGGAAAATTTTTTTTGGCGACCCCCCCCCCCCCCGTCGCCAAAAAAATTTCGGTCAGTGTACCATTTTAGGGGTCAAAAAAATTTTCCGGACGTACCAAATTTTTGACAGAATCACATTAATTTTC